AAAAATGTGCACACATTAATGGTTTCAATTTTTAATCAACTTTTCTTCTTGAAGTTTGAAAACTAAAAAAAATTGAAAATGTAAAAAAAAATATTTGAATTTTTTTTAACAACACCCTCTTTGTTTGAAACAAAGTTTCAGTTTTCAAAGTTGAAAAAAAGTTTCCTATATTATTTGTAGGATGAAAATGAAAAAAAAATTCAAAATAACATTTTTTACCATTTAAAAATTGTAAATTTAAAATTTGTTAAAATTTGTATTTTTAGATTTTATATAAAGAATGTGAAGACTTTATATGAAGAATAAAAACTGGCTTTCATTTGTTGAATGAAAGCGTAAACAAAGTTGAAATTTGTACACATTAATGGTTTACATTTTTTAACAATAACTTTTCTTGAAGTTTAAGGACATTTTAGTTTATCTCTTGACTTTTGAAGAAAACCCAGTTGAGAACTACTGTTTGACCTTTTTTTTAAATTTAAACTGATTTGATAAAAGTGTTTATTTCTTTGAAAACTTTGTTTCTTGGTGCTTTGAAAGAAACGTATTGACACGGCATGAACTGGAGTTCAGGTTTGAGCGTGAATCTTCTCTGAGCTGCTGTTTGGATGGATTTATATGCCCTTTTCCAGCTGTTTTAACACGAAGCTCTTCAGTGGCGGCTGTCAGCATCGACTTTGACTGACGTCTGAGGCTCCACGACACGTGAAGGCCAACATCTCTGAATGTCACACTTTATCTGACGGCCCTGATCCTCCTCACAAGTAATGAAAAGCTAAATATCAGCCGATAAGACGCAAGCGTGAACGCCTGTTAGCCAGCAGAGAAAGATGTTTGACTCAAATCACACCAATATAAGCCACTTACCAGAGGAAAGCTGGCCGTTTCGTGTGTTATAGAACTATACAATAGACTTGCATTTAAGAATTAAATAAAACGTAATAAAGTTGTGGGTGAGTTTAGGTTTTGGTCTTTGCTTCTCCATTCTCTCAATGTGCATTCAAACGTTTGGAGTCAGTGAGATTTTTATGTTTTTTAAAGTCTCTTCTTCTGCTCACCAAGGCTGCATTTATTTGATCAAAAATACTGTTAAATATTGTGAGATATTATTACAACTTAAAAGAACAGTTTTCTATGTGAATATATGTTAAATTGTAATTTATTCCTGTGATCAAAGCTGAATTTTCAGCATCATTACTCCAGTCTTCAGTGTCACATGATCTTCAGAAATCAGTATAATATGCTGATTTATTATAATCAATGTAGAAAACATATTTTTGTGTAAACCATGTTTTACAGGATTCTCTGCTGAAGATAATGTTCAAAAGAACATTTATTTGAAATAGAATTTTCTTATAACATTATAAATGTCACTTTTGATCAATTTAATGTATCCATGCTGAATAAAGTTATTAATAACCAAAAAAACATTGTGATAGTCTGTTCTCTAAATAGTTTGGGTTCCTCCTTCAGTGAACGTCTACAGGATTTTTTGCCCTGTTTTATTGTCTGCCAAGTGAAAATCTTTCGTTTTATTACTTAAAGTAACAGCATACTTTCCCTCATCAAGTAATCACAGTGCCTGCAAACACTAATTAATTTCTTTTAATCAATTTAGTCAAATGTCTAGACAATCTAAAATGCATCCTGGTCCCATTCTCTAACTTTTATCTAAGCTCTATTTAGTGTAAAGGAGAGTATGACAGTGTCAGGAATACATTTTAACATATATTCACATAGAAAACAGTTATTTTATATTGTAATAATATTTCATAATATTACTGTTTTACTGTATTTTCGACCAATTAAATGCAGCCTCGGTGAGCAGAACGAGATGTCAAAAACATTAAACATCTAACCGACCCCAAACGTTTGAACAGTAAGTGTATTTCAATGCTGTGATATAAAGCATCGGAGTAATTTCATTGTTACTTGTTATTGGCAGTCACTTTGATTTGAGTCAAATACGAACGTCTGCAGATGTCATACTCAGTTATTTGCTGCAAATAAGAAATGATAAGAATTATTCACAGAGTTCACTGCTGTGTGTCAATGACTCAATAAAGTCTGTCACTTAGCTCCCATGATGCCTCATTTATCAGGACATGATGAGTGATTGTCACCGCTCAGTACATCAGGACTGGGATGGTTTAGTTCATATTTAATATTACATTGCATGTAATATAATTTACTTTCATTCTCTTTCATCCACTCTTAACTTGATTGTATATATCCAAATGCATATCAGACCTTATTAAACCTGTATTCACTTGACTTGGTAAGAAGATACTCATGAAAAGAGGTTTTATTTATATGTGTCCCTGGAGCACAAACGCAATCTTAAGTCGCAGGGGTATATTTGTAGCAATAGCCAACAATACATTGTATGGGTCAAAATTATACATTTCTCTTTTATGCCAAAAATCATAAGGATATGAAGTAAAGATCATGTTCCATGAAGATATTTTGTAAATTTCCTACCGTAAATATATCAAAACTTAATTTTTGATTAGTAATATGCATTGCTAAGAACTTCATTTGGACAACTTTAAAGATGGTTTTCTCAATATTTAGATTTTTTTGCACCCTCAGATTCCAGATTTTCAAATAGTTGTATCTCGGCCAAATATTGTCCTATCCTAACAAACCATACATCAATGGAAAGCTTATTTATTCATGATGTATAAATCTCAATTTTAAAAAAATTGACCCTTATGACTGGTTTTGTGGTCCAGGGTCACATATGTTGATGATTTTAATTTATTCACAATAACTAAGAAGCAAATCCACTTCTATTTTTTGTGTGGTAAGAAAATTTTGATTTCTGTTTAGTTTTTTTTTGTATTTTAATTTGTATTGTACTGCACTTTAAATATGAAATATATTCCAGCTGGCTGTAGTCGTGTTGCTTTTCACTTTGAGTAGCTCTAAAATCTCATTTGCATGTGAACACATTCAAACCTCGTGTCGTGTTTACGTTCGACACACTGAGAATCACAGAGGTGTTTGGTGTCAAACCATTCCTCACAATATATGGACATGCACAACTATATTTGAGGGGAATGTTTCCAGTGAACAACACTTAAAGCTGCAGTCTGTTCCTCGTGGAATACAGCACACAAGACATATGTATGACTTTTACAGTGCTTTCAGCCATGTGCTGCATCAGGCCTGGACAGGACCCGGCGTAATTGTTGGAATCAGGGTTTAAGGGTGCTACACAACAACAAAATCAACCAGAACTGTCAGAAGTGAAGCAGGCTGGTCTTACCGATGAGCTCTGTGGGCGTCTTCTCTATGAAGTGCTCGCACAGCCTGATGAACATCTCTGTCGCCTCTGCTGTGGGGCATTCACCGTGACTGAACGAGACACAAACACACTGATATCAAGACGACAGGCCAAAGCTAGCACGTCACACCAATGACACCCATTAGCAATGACATCACAAGAGGCGAAACCACCATTTTATACATTTGGATTTGTATTTTAACCAAAAATATACAGTGGTGTGAAAAAGTGTTGGCCCTAGGGCTGGGCGATATGGCAAAAATGTAATCTCGATAAATTTTTCCCATATTGAACGATAACGATATATATTTCGATATAAGTTGTTACAAAATCATTTATGATATTTTCACAACATTTTCAAAATGATTCCTTAATCCACCCCATGCCTAATCTTAACAACTACCTTACTAACTATTAATAAACAGCAAATTAAGAGTTTGTTGAGGCAAAAGTCGTAGTTAATAGTGAGAACTGGTCCCAAAACTGTGACCAACAGTGCTTATTTGCTGTTGATGGGCTGCTGAGGTAGTATTCTCAATTGAAACGAGTCGAGGCTTGGACCCAGAAACAGCGGTGGAGTACATTTCAAACGCAAAAAACACACAACACAGCATTTAGATTCTATCGCTCACATACCCTTTGCAGGAAAGTTTCACATATTTGATTCCTTCTTTTTCTATCTCTGCTCGATCATAGAAGCGGCTGGTGTTCGTCAGGTCCACCAGCAAACCCATCTTCACCTGCGGACAGGCCAGCATCACATTAACACAGCTCAGCCGGAAGACCAGTTTAAAGGGATCGTTTACACACAAATTTCATTTTCTCACCCTCCAGTTGTTCCGACGTTTCTTTTGTTTATTGAACACTAAAGAGGATATTTTATAAAGCTGAGAGTTCCGGTCCTTGATTCTGATTGGCTGAGCCGCGTTCGAAGCTGTTGTAAATTACTCTACAAAGTAACATACACCTTTGTTTACATTTGTGTGTTGCTCGGCAACCACTTTGTTGCAACCACAACTGTTTCTGAGGGACTACATTGTTTGGTGGAAGAATACTGTTTTTATTAATATCATTACACTTTATTTGCTCCGTTTTATTTTGTGAAACCTTACTACGTATATGGAATAACCGTTTTATAAAAGCAAAACCTTACTACATATATGGAATAACCGTTTTATAAAAGCTTCGCATCGTGCCTAACAAAGCCCCTTAGCTGTTATAAATTCACTGTAAACCACGGCTTCTTGGGGCTTATTGCTTTATTAAAGGATGTTGGTAATCAAACAGTTGACGGTAGCCGCATAGTATTTTTTTCCCATCCTATGGAAATCAGTGGCTACCGCCAACTGTTTGATTACCAACATCCTTCAAGATATCTTCTTTTGTGCCCAACAGAAGAAAGAAACAGAAGTTTGCAACAACTTGAGGGTGAGTAAATGATGACAGAATTGTTTTATTTTTGGGTGAACTATCCCTTTAAGAGGAACGTCCATACACCTTTAAGCTTTTGAGATAGTTGGACAGCATGCTGGGATGAAACCTGTTCTCCTCCGGGACTTTATCATCATACCGTGGTCCAAGCATGGTTTTCATGGGCAGAAATTTACCTGCGGAGAGAAATCATCATGTCATCACCTTTAACCTCATAAGGTCCTTGGGGTCAATATGACCCCAATCAACTTTTCTTTAGTTTAAAAAAAATGGTTCCCTTCAACACGCATGAAAACATATGTTTGAACACAAAAATGTCTCAGTGGAATAAGATTTTGTGACTTTTCAACATTTTCTATCTGTATTCACATAAAAAAAAAAAAAACGGATTTACAAATCTGGTCTTTGGGGTCAATATGACCCCATTTGAAAATGAATGGGAAATGCGAAAAAATCTATATATATTTTTTTTTTGTTTTTTTTCCTTTGTCAAAAAAAAAAAAATCCAGCATAAATCTGAAAATTTTCACACAGAAATGAAGGCCTGGTACTAGATCACAAATGCAATGTAGAAAAGACATGCTCACTCACATGCACGCGCACACACACACACACACACGTGTGACTGCAACAAAGAGCATTTTCATAGAAATTGGCAAATAAAATCAATAAATCCTGCATAAATCTGAAAATGTCCACACACAAAAACGAAGGCCTGATACTAGAGCACAAATGCAGAGTTGAACGAGCATACTCACTCACGTACGTACGTACACACACACACACACACACACACACACACACACCCACACACACACCATTCATATCTGCGTATTGCAGTTGTTGTTTTTTAGTTTTTTTTTTTTGGTATTGGTTTTATTTACATTTAAGTAAAATAAAATTGTTTTTTAATTTGACTTTTTAGATTGAAATAAATATGTGCCTGCAATCAAGTTTTAGTGACAACTTGTGTGGCACTTCTGCAAATATATGTGGCATTATTGCAAAAGCGGGCACTTCAAAATACCTCAAACAACAAAAACAAATTCTAACCCATGAGAAAAATACTGTTTTCAATGTATTGTATAATGTTTCAATATATATTTACAAAATATATATCAGAAAAGTTGTGAGAGGAGCAGTTGGCCTCTTCCAGAAAAATGAATGGATCTCTATGGGCCTCTGCTGGATATTTATGGTCACTACACTATTCTTTCAAAAACTGTGATTTCTACAAGTTTTTCTCTAACCAGCAGATGGCAGAATTTTACACCTAACACCTAGATCAATATTCAGAAACAACATCTCATTTAAGTGATTTTTTCATAAAAATGTAATATTTCCAGCGGTGTGAAGTAACAAATTACAAAGACTCACGTTACAGTAATTAAGTAGTTTTTATAAGTAATTGTACTTTTTTGAGTAGTTTAAAAATTGTGTACTTTTACTTTTACTTGAGTACATTTTAAGTGATGTATCTGTACTTTTAC